CTATGTAATACGATAGTGGTTTATCCCTCGGTTCTGATGAGGCGCCACTTTTGTACTTCGAATTAGCCCCCTTGTACCTCGCTGGGTGGGCTGGCCTTTTGGGCCGTGCCAATAGCCCAGACACCTTCTCCGTGCTGAATATATATATTCTGCCCGAGTATTTTGTCTTCTTTCGTCTTCAGGGAGTCTCGGGACGCTACAGTAGTCACTAGGTGCGGGGGAGGACAATTCGACCGCGAGGTTCCAATTTTATGCTTGCCTCCTCCCTAAAAGGTACATTAAAACAACGTATGTATTGCATTATTAGTATGTCTTTCGAAATTTTGGCTAAGACGCTGGACTGCAGTTCAGTAAGTCAAGTTAAAAAAAAAATAAAAGCAAAACCTGATTACATCCGAACCACCGATAGTAGGTGCTTCAAGAATTTGACTCAGGTGGCTGACATCATGTGCTGGAAAATATGAAACAAGGCTAAGTCTTGCCTTTTTGTTCAAAATCAAAAGTCAAGCTCGAATAACATCTGCACTGTAAATGAGCTGCTAATTTTTAAAAGCATTGCTTCCATGTCAATGAGCATATATAGACTAAGCACCCTATGTAACGCGTTCCAAACTTTGCAGCTTACATACTTTTGGAACGAGTAAAAAAGCTAAATTGAGACACATTTTATAAATTGGGCTTTGTGAATGCGTAAATAAAACCAAGGCTATGCAATGCATTGCCCCGAGACTTCCCAAAGAAAGACACAATATATGAGCAGAACATATTGTTAACATTTAGGGAGGTCTGAGACTACAGGTATGGCTTAGAGATCAGCTCGTCTGTTGAAATTACAATGACCAGGAGACCGGGTAACTCTTCCACGAAAACTGGGAGCTAAACACCCAAATCATTACAATAGGGTCGGATTTTATTTTCTACCTAGGGTCAATGTCAGCTTTAAAAAATTCTATGCCTATTCTTTGTCTTGGTGGTACATTTCAGTATCCGCAAACTTCATTCAAATTGGCTATTTTATGATTATTGTTGCATCTAGTAGTGCAGAGGTATCATCCCATGCACTCTGTAATAACACCATTTAGTTCGTAACTAAATAAAATTTTTGGGTTATTTGGTGTCATATGCGTTACTTTTTGGATTTTGCTTTTATATGTATGACCTAGGGAATTTGTTTATATTTGTTAATACCACGTTTAATGATTTAATAGAAGAGTGCCACAGGATTGGAATATCAGTGTTAGGTGAAATAGATGCTTTGCTATGAAAGGAGTAAAACACTTCCCTGAGAAGAGCATCCTGCGAAAACCGTTAGGATTAAGTAGGCTTTACTTTTTGGTTGCCACGCTTTACGAATTTCAACAACATTTATAATGTTACCTTATGTAGGAATGTTTCATGCCTGCATAATTACCAGTTCTTATCTCATATCGTGATTCCTCATACCATTGGGATTTATACATTTTTAACTTTTCTTGCCCGTTGGTTTTGCATTGCGCAACTGAAGTTTTCGTGAATACTAGACCGTATTGTTCGAAACGAAATTTTTATTCTTCCTGAGAACCCTGTCTTTTGGTAGACTATCGAAGACCTGAACTGGTCTAGTCAGTATCTTTTGTTTATTCACATCAGTCCTTTTTAATTTTATATAAATATGCTCCGATTAATGCTTTTTTCATCACTGTGTTTTACAAGATGCGCCATGAAACCTTAGGTGTATAATATTATAGTAGTACTCTGAATGACTTGAAAGGTGCCTATGTTATTGCTGGACTATGTGTAACTCAGCTAAAGGACCATCAAAGTGTGTTGTGTCTTCATAACTAATACCAAAGTTTTCTTTTTTTGTCAGCTCTGTTGACAAATTGCTTAAGTGAGACGTGGTAAATACCTCTCTTTATGCTAAATCATCTGCCAACGTCCGGTTTTTTCAAAAATTGTGTAGCCTGATTTGTGCTGCTAGCCATATATTATCTCATTTTCGCGGTGACCTTTATGCTCATAGAATCATTATTTACTTCAACACTGGGAGAGTAAAACAGTGTGCAATCCTTTCTGCCCTTGTTGATGATCCTAACACAGATCCTGTTACATTTAGCCCAAGGTATAGCATTGAATGAAACTGGATGCACTTTAAAACAATTTTCTTACTATATCAGACCCAGCTTTGTACACAGTCTGGGTTTTTTTTCTACTCTTCATCCCAGAGTTTAGTAATGTATGGTATAAATCCGTCTTCATCTAACCGCGGACAGTGGCAGCTGCGCTTATTAAACTATTAGTTTACTTTGGTCACACTCACGATCAGTTGAATCCTACTTCACCCCATTAAATGGAGGCGGGATGGTGGGTAACCAGTCCTATTTAAAAACTGCTACTTTCAGTGTCCGCCTAAGCACCTACGGAAGTTTTTACTTCGCATCCCCTTTAGTAGGCTTTTGGAAACCCAAACATCAAGAAACTTATCTACATTTAATTGCCCTAACCTATTTCCGAGTGCCTGACATAATCAAGGTACATTCACCGAATAGTGTCTCACCAGTTGGTTGAAAAATCAGCCACCATCATTTCTTCCCAATAATGAAGCTAACCTTACTAGTTGCAAATTATGGGGAGTCTGGTCATGGGTTTCTACTGACAAAAGCTGTTATTCGTGGCAGCTGTAGCAGCATCATGCAGCCGTGCGCGTAGGAAAAACTACCATTCGTGCAACCTCCCATAAATTCCAAATCTCAAAATAAAAGTGACACCATGGAATTCCAAAAACACAGCCGTTGCGGTAAAGAAAGAATAAAAGCGCTGCAGCAGCGTCGCACTTCGTTGCGAGGTCGTACTTTACGTGTGAGAATGTACAAAAAGAAAAATGAAATAGAATAAGAGAAGGTTTCATTCAAAGTACAGGTCAATTTTTAAGAGCCCAAAAGGTGTGCAGCTCTCGATTTTGCACGTTTAATTCGTCGCACTTACCGATTAACAATTTCTTCTTTACTTCTAAGTATATTCTGTTTTCTACCGAGTTACTCCACTTTGCCAGCTTTTGGAGCTTGAAGGATGCAGTGCATTCATCAGAAATGAGGGTTTAGTTCACCCCACCTGTCTACCCTCCTTAATCATCATCACGACTTACAAACTCCTAAAACGAGTCGATTTGTAGGGCAGAATTTGGGTATTTGAGAAAAATGCCCGCTTTTTGGACTTTGTAAGATTGCTTTCGGGACTTTCCTAATTATCCGCAGATTTTACGAAAAAGTAGAAATCGGAGGTGAAAAATTTGGAAATTGTAACACGGTCTGAGAAAAAGGCACTAATTTGACGCCAAGTAACCCCAAACCCCGACATTGGAGCCATCAAATATCAGAAAGTCGGTTGGAGGCAGAGAAAGATGTGCCATTTGGAGACATGGAGACCGGAGCTGATGAGTATCCTCGAATCCATGCACATACAAGGAGCAGTAGGACTGTGTGGAGTAAATAAAAGGAAGGCGTGGAAGAATCTGAGATCTAGCAGCCTGAATATCTTTAGGCCATGGCTGTAAAGTTGCCTATCGCTGTGCCTCATCGACTGCATCCTCCGTCGGTGTGAATTGATTCCCAGCAAACCCCACATTTTACACGACTTTTCGACCCAGAGTTGTTTATTACTGGAGGAGGAGGAAATTGGATTAGGTAGGACAGTCAGATGGACTGGAGGAAGGAAATGAATACAATTGCTGAGGGCCTTTATCCCCCGTGAAAACCTCTTTGTACATTTCATAGGTCCTTTTTAAGGCAATGAAAATATGAAATTCCCCTTTTTAAAGGAGTCAATTCTCCCCACTAAAAAAAACCCTCAAGTAGATCCTCCGGTTAACGGCCTTGAGTGGCCTGTCTTTGCGTGCGAGGTGAATTTATTCGCCGACTCTCTTTTACGTCTTAGGAAACGAACTTGCTGCCACAAATTCCGTCTTCTTTTATTGTTTAATGAAAAAAGGGTATTTCCGGATAATTTCGCCCCTTCTCCCTTTCCTTCGACAAGCAGACAAATCGTACCACTCTGGTTTCATTTATCCTCATTAGAAAACTCCTTGGTGAAAGGTACTTCTGCAGGCAAAAAATCGTCGTCGTTACTTTCTTTTCCAGAAGAGAATGCTTTTTAGATCAGGGAAAGGGAAGAACCTAGAGAAAACAAGAGCAGTTAATGAAGAGAGAGTTGAGGAAGCCAAGACCGTCAGCACTGCCCTCTCGCAAATCTTGGGGAAGCTTCCCACTTTACGGTTTGCATTAATTAAAAGACAATAGCACCTAATTGGCTCTTGAGGGAGGATTATAACTCCCACCTCATTATTGCCCCATTAATGCGTAAATTCTCACGATAAACGAGACCCTTGGCATCGGTTTCACATCCCTCTCTCTCTTCACCATTGAATGCTCTCTAAAGTTGGAAATTTCTGACCTCCAGATCATGATCAGACACCGTCACCGAAGGCTTTCCGGAAGTCGCAACAAAAACCCTGTTTTGAAGACCGCATCAAGACAACTTTCATCGTAGACGAGGCTGATCCCTTCCTCTCCCCTACCGAGGTTACTGAACCGCTTCACGAGGAGGACTCAGACGGAAGAGGCTCGGCCGATTCACAGAGTCGACGAAAGCAGTGGCTTCGACAAGCCATCTCCGTCGATGGTGAACGAGTGCCCGCAAAACTTCTCCATCAATGCAGCCTCGATGTGAGTTTCACCCACCGATAGGCACTTGGTGCTTTTGCTGCCAGCTTCTCAGCTTTTTTGCTATCTAGGCCCGCACGTCTCAAATACGTGACGTTCTGTTACTTCAGTCCGTTGGTAGTGATTGAAGCAAACTGCTGGCCATTGGGGCTGTGGTGGTCAATTTTTCTTCTTAGGCGTATCCTTTTTACGGTCATGTTAATATCTTGTCATGAAGACGGAAACATGCCAAAACCTAATTATCCAGCCTCAAGCCAGAGCGAGTTTTCTTTCAGAGTGAAAAACGCGCGCCTTGAGAATCCTACACTTCTCATGGTTTATTGTGAATTTCAGTGTAAATTTGGGGTATGCACCATTAGAATTCTCTACTCGCCGACTGCGCTACACCACTTCCTCTGTCAAGGTGTTAGTCATCTAGATAAAATCGTCTCTCTGCAGGCTAGTCTGACAGGTTGATACGAAAAAGAAGCCATCACGGCATGTTGCCCTTTGTACATGAGAACACTGCACAATGGGTCTCCCTCATGGGTAGTTTTGAAGCCCGATTGAATCCGCAGCCACCACAGCCATAAATGAGCGATGCATGAATGGAAAATTGTGTAATTTTCGAGGTACTTATAAGATCCACGCGATGTAAAGCAGAGGCGAAATCTAACCTTCTGTACGTCGTGGAGTAAGGGGGAGGGATCCCCTTGTTAAGAGTTCTTTTAGTTCAGGATCTCGGTATCTAAAATCCATCCGCAGCGCCTATTTTGGCATTTGAAGCTTCTGCTGTAGAGATCAGTCGGGAGTTTCGGCATGTAATCATGACACTTTGTTTTGGGAAGGGTGAATTTGGGCTAGCTCACTTTTTACGCTGTCTAGTCATTGAGTTGCGTCTGCTGAAACCGAGCTGCATCCAGTGTAGCCATCAACGAATCCTGGAAGTGTGTACTGCTACAGGTCTGAGTGATGCACCAATCTAGGGAGAACGGATCAGGAACCTACTCACTTATCCCCTCTCATGTCTTTCCAATCATTTGGAACAGCCTTTGGCGGTGATGTCCATGCTTTACATGAAATAGCACGAAATAAATTTCCGGTATTCTGTGCCTGAAAAACTGTCCATCACTTCCGGCTGATTAAAAGCTTTTGAAAGACGGTATTTCAAGGAAGGTTTGACTGCTTATGTTGCTTGAACGATTGAACTATGATATGCGACCAACGGGTAGGAATCCAAGAGCTTCCTCCTTGTTCTTTTATAAAATCCAGCTTTTCGAGCGAAGCAAATCTCCTCAAATGTAACATCATGACATCCTGATCGTTTGTTTTGCTATGGGGCAATGAGTTCACATGTTTTGAGTCCGTCAAACAAAGCACCCCTAAAATTTGTTGCAATTGAGTTGCAGATAAACCAAAAGGTAGAAATTTATGAACTTCTTTCTTTAGTTTTATCGTCAGTTTTGCTCTCAGGATCTGTCCCAGAGGAAAATCTGACACTGCAGTTTTTTAGTGCAGTCGCACTTATTCTCGTCAGATCAGAAACCTGCACTTAGTTTCCTGTTTCGTCCACAGCCACTGTTCTACTTGCTACCGGAATTGTGACTTGGAACGTCTCATATATGTGACACCACCAGTGAACGCGGTGACTTTCAGTCATACGCATCGGTAAATGAGGCATTTCTCCCACATTCAGTAAGGGTCATTCTACATATCACACGACTCCACAAGTGTTCCCCGGATTTGTCTAGAAAATTCCATGCAGTATCACAAACACGAGAAAGGAGTGCCTGATTTTCCCGCCTCATTTAGAGATTTTGAGAGCTTCATTTGATATCACTTGCACGGAATGGAAGAAGAGAACGATGGGCCGATTGCAAATGCTAGGTAAAAAGTGGCTTTGATAGCTCTTCCAGAGGAGAGGCGTCTCCGTTGCATCCTTTCTGACTCCACCTACACTCATTCCAAGAGCCTCGTGATGAACTCAACCCCACAAGTGGCACAAAGAATCGCAGCTCTCCATCTCAGGCTCCAAAAATACGTTCGAGATTTTAGGTGTCGACATAAATTGGAAGTCAACATCTAAATGAGATTTAAGAAAGGGAAATCGGTTCTAGAGTTCTCTTCCGGTTTTCGAGGTCGAGGGGAAGGAGGAGGAGATCTCCTCCCCTAGGTACATTCTGGAAGCAGCAAGGATTTATTGAGCTGGTTGATATCAAGGATGCGGGTGGTATATCTGAAATACTGGACATTCCATTTTCCCCTTTCCGAGGTCCACACATCGGCCTTTTATTCAGCGATCTCCTTCGTAGTGGCCTTTTAACTGACCATTTACTGCTACGTAGTACTTCTAGCCTGTGATGAATGTGGCTGTCAAAGTGTCCTGTGTCCAGAAAATGGCGTACGCAGATGGGCACGACTTTGTCAGGTCAGGACAGTGTGAAGACCGACTGGCTGACCGTCCTCGAAGCTTTGATTGTCTTTCCTGTCAGATGAAGCGGGTGTAAACATATACCCTACTGCACCACTCGCCTATCTATGCTGCGTAGCGGATATGAACAATTGCATCGCACCAGACCTTGGAAGTTACTCAATGTCATTGCAGCGGGCTACGCTGAAAAACAGCCACCGACCTAATGATTGCGGGCGCAGGGAGGGTGAGCCGAAGGACGGCAGATTCTCCGTGAGAGTCAGTGAAAGTGATGAGGATGCGACCCTGACTTACTTAAGCTCACAAACCGTCAACATGAATACGATGTGATGTCAGGCAAGACCACAAAATTGGAGTTGCTTAGCTTGACGTCTGGTGCGGATAGGACTTGACGGTCATGGCTAAAGTTAAAGGTTGGAGGCGAGTTACAAGTTCTTATGCGGTACACGTCATCGAATCGTCCCTTAAGATATTATGAGAGCAGAAGAATTCGTAAAGAACGCCACTGTGGAGGAGAGGAGCCGCAGAGCCCCATGCACATCTAGGCTGGAGTGCTGTAACACTTAAGAGCTGCACCATTGGCCCCCATCCTGTCTGTATGCGTGGGAGGAACGTCGCCTCTTTCGACCGAAGATAAAGTGGAATCACAGAATCCGTATTTCTTCGTGCTTGGTGTGTAGTGCCGAAGTGTTGGCTACTAACGTGGGCACTTCCTATAGCATTGAAGTGAAGAAGACGTGGAGGTGTGTATGTGCGGGTCCAATTTTCAGAGTTACGCACTGGAAGCAAAACAGAGCGATGAAGGTGGAAATGAAGTGAAAGGAAAGCAGAAGGGATATGTGACTCTGCTCAAGTGAATCACATTGTATTTTCACGAGCTGCGAAGAAGCACTTTTGGTGGTGTATGTCAGAGTGCCACCGAATTTGCGCTGTTTTGGAGTTTCTTATTAGATGGCCTTGGAGTTTGGTTCCTTCAAGCGTCAACTTCACTCGGTGGGAGCATCGGAGATGGCGCTCTTATTCCTCTTACTGTAGTAGCACAGGAAGAAGTGGGTGGTTAGAAATACGAAATGATTATTGCAAGCCCTCCGTGGTGGACTTAGCATGGTAGATGGGTGGTCGTCGTAATTACTCCTTAATATAAAGCAGGCCTAAACACGTAATGATCACCTTAAAACCGTTGGTTGCCTTAACTGCTCAGGCATGGATTACTGGTTCCACTAGCTCCGCCACATTCACCCATTTGCGGTTTGGGGAGCAGCGGATTTGCGTGACAGGTCATCAAGTACAGCAAACAGCCCTTCACTGCTCTGTGCATCCTCTTTTGGTGGCCACATTCATGAGTGATTGGTTTCAATGCACTGACCCATTCAAAAATGGGAGACTTTTAAATCCTCTACTGGCAAGATCAACGGAGCTACATCAGGCTACTCCAATGTCAAGGGGTTCTGATGCCCTGCTTCAGTAGGGAGGCATGCCACGAGGGCAAAAATGGTGGCTGTTGGCGTATGACATGACTTCAATACTGCGGATACCAACGGCGATGCCAAGACACCAAGACCCCGATTGGATCTAAATTTTGGAGGTTGAAGAGCCTACCCAAATGGTTGTAGGCCCTCATATGCCCAAAAATTATCGGGCGGGGCGAATTTTTAGCCCCACGAATGTCGCGCAAACCCCTAATTAATCTGGATGAAATTTGTAAATTGTTTTTTCCCTTCAATTAGCGTTTTTACAAAAAAATGAGGCAGGAAAATTCCAATCATTTTAACAGGAGACACTTTAACAAGTGTCCAAAAATTTGATGGTAATTTTGGAGAAGAAATCCACAAATGAAGAGAATTTTCTCGTAGGTAGACAGAAAAAGTGACTAAGTGCTTTTGGAGAGGATGTGATATCCTTCTGTTGCATATCTCCCTCTCCGTCCCGCTTTGTTGAACAACGTCCTCAGTTGCCTTTCCATAATCACCCTTCTGCGCTGTCCAGGAATGAGGGCCATCTGGAAGAGGAGATTCCTTTGAATTTACTTTATGGGGCAAATTGTGGAAACTTGCTGGCTTCGCACATCTCAATGCTCCACATAAAGTGTTCTCCAAGCACCAATCGCTAGTGATGGAAGCGTCTGTCCAGGAGTAGTAGCCCACAGGTCTTGTGACCTTCCACAGGTCATGGGATTAGGTTGTTGCGAGTCCACGCTGAGACTATGTGTCTAGACAAGAAATTCAGGGTTTTAGTCAGATGTGCTATCATTTTATCGCCTCACACCGCCTTGAAGACCTTTTCAGGGTGTATGTGTCCGGGTAGAAATCCATTAAGGTTTGGCAGACCGTTAGACTTTAACCGTTTCGTTCTCCGCTTCCCTGTTTTTCAGCATGGCTACATCGGACGAAGTTCTTCCATTGACAAAGACTCGACTAACGGGGCAGAGGTAACCGAAGATTCTGCTGAAAATGATCTTGAGGATCTCCAGTCGCAGCGTGCCCTGGTTGAAGCCGAGTTGCGACGTCAAGCTAAGGCGCCTCCCGGATTGAAAATAAGAGACCTCCTCGCCTGCCGCTCGATAACTGAAGACGAAGGTGACGACGACGATGACGAGGAGGAAGCGGAGAAGGCGAAAGGAGAAGGAAATGCTCAGCAGAAGAATCACGAGAAGGAAGACGTGACAAAGACAAATAACGTTGAAGGCGAAAGAGGCCTTGACGTGAGCGGTACCCAAGTGAAACTGTCCTGAAATATTCACACGTGAACTCAAACGGTCACAAGCCAATTACACACACGTACACGCGCCCACATGATGTACATTAAGAGATTCCGCATTCAAGATTGCTATTTATTACTGACTTTTTAAGTAGCATCTTTAGGGGTGGTCTCAAAGGTATGTGGCCACCAAATTCAGTTCCTTCTTGTAGGTTTAATTTGAGCAAATCATTTTAAGCTTTTTTGAAGTAGCTCTCCGGGTAAGTGGGGAGTTATTGAGGTATTTTAAAGGCATATGACTACTGAATTAGGGGAGTATTGCCTACAGTGAGGTTGCCGAAGGACTGCCGCCTCAGAAGATCACGGTCGTGGAATAGCTGTGGACCACATCAAAGACACTCGGGCACTGTGAACCTTCTCAGCGAGACCTCAAACGCAGTGGTCCAAGGAGTTACAACAATGAGAGCGTTTTTCGGCTGTTTGTTTGTGATTTCTGCAGCCTGGAGAGGAAGGTGCAAAGCCTTGCTAACAGACGGTCTTCAAGAGCTCTCTTTTGCATTAGGAGTCTTTAGGAGCAACATTCGTCCAAGTTCTTGAAGGATATGGCTATCAAAATTAGACTTGAAATCCACTTCTAGTTATTCGGCCTTACTGCTTGGTTTTTGGGGTCACTGCTATCCTAGTGGACCTCTGCGCGGACAATCGGTGGCTCTAAATAAACTCGGCCTGAATCCCTGGAAGGGACATTAGTCTGGAGTTAGCTGCTCCTTTAGTGTTGAGTTGTTTCTCTTCTGTCGCAGTGATTTGACGCTTTTTTTAACTACATGAACACTTCAATCTCCGCAGGTTGTATTTTTACGCCTAAGACTTAGCCGTCGGGCCATACTGATGGCCTCCTAACTCTCTCCCACGTTATTGAAACATGGTTTTCTCCACTCTCTTAACTTATTGAGGCTTCTTCAACGGCCTGGGACGCTTCACCCACCTATCTATTAAAATGCAGTAAAAATTGAGCAAATGCTAGGCTTTTGAAGGACCTTTTTGCTTGGAGGTCATTATACAGTAATGCAGTCGAGTGGCTCTTTGAATGCTTTTGCGATCGCTGGTGGAGGAAGATCTCAATCGTCTAAAGAGTTGAATTGGTGCAGTGCAGCTTACAGGGGTTTTGAATTCATGGAAGGAGAGGTCAAATTGTCACGTTGTTTCTTTCGGCGCTGTATTATCACATTCTTCCAAGCATTTGGGTGGGAAATTGTAGCTGCGGTTGAACAGCCCGACATTCAAAGCAGCCTAACTGTTCGTGAAAAAATGACTGTTCTCGACGCTTCCATGTGCATTTGCACAGCGTTGGAATGTATATCATTACCTGACATTCAATGCGATGGCAGAACGTCTAAAGGAGTACCTGCTGTGTTGGTGAGCACAAAATTGCCTTGATCTGGCTGAACACTCTAGCACCGCAGTATACTGTGCGCTCGTAGGTACTAACGCCTATCGGAGGAATCAAATTTGACGCCTTGTCAGGAAGACGCTTCCTCACAGCGGTCTTCCCAAACGATTACTCTGGTCTGTCATGGTACGCAATCCCGCCATATTTGTGTCCCATAGTAAACCTGAAAAAGTACAGGTCCCAGTTTGACTTGTACGTCCCTTGTACACATTCATATTTACGCTGTCAGTCCTCCCTTGCCAAAAATATAGTGGCATTTCCAGACTTCTCCTGGCACATGTCACCGCTATACTGGTAAATAGCACTTGTGCTGTGGGCTCTACGCGATCCTTCCTGACCACTAGCAAACTCTTGCCAGTGTCAGAGATCACCTAATGTAAGGGCGCTTTAAGGGGATGGGCGTCTGAGTGGCCAATAGGTGGAGTAATTCATGGATCTTTCCGGTCTCCCGCCAAATGACCCACTCGCTGGTGGTGTTAAAGCCGTGTGGCACTCGTCTCGTAACCCTTTAATACACTCGTACGCCTTCCAACCTCCTCAAAGGTAGCAGCACGATGAGGGATGTTGGATGTCTTTTAACCCTCGAGGGAATTGGGCTAGCTTTTACCGATTCCTTAAAGTAGATCTGTAGATGGCTAAGACCATAGAGATAAAAAAACTGAAGGGGAAACAAATCTGCGTTACTTAGTTTGTAACTACCCCAACGTGAAGTACCGCGGAAACAAAGGGACTACTAAAGATCTTCAAAAAGTACTAAAAATGATAACTGCAAAAAGTGATGACTGTTGAGTCCAGCCTAGAGATTCGCGATGCGTTTGTGGCACAGGGTCCTATACATAACCGGCAAAGGATGAATGGATGACAAGACCAAGAGAAGAGGAGTATCCAAAAGTTGCCTCGAGATGCCCGCACTTTACAGTCTATTAAATCGCTTTGCTTCCGTTGTAACTTGAATTGGAAAGGAAATAAGCTTTGCCAATGCAAAAGAGTCCACACCAGGTTCTACGCGATAAAAACCAAGCCCAAAGCAACCTCATAGCGAACTTTTTACCTTTCTTGCCAGGATTCCCACTCCTTTTAGCTGCTCGAAGGAGCAATGACTCGTGGGATACTGTGCACGAACAAAATATTATTAACAATGTAAGATAACACTTTCCAGCGATCTACGAGAGACTTTTCATGACGGCTGGAAAGTGCAGTTGTTCTGTTATCTAGCTTATTTATGAATAATTCCTGCCTCCGGAAGTAGGCCACTGGATAGAAAAAAGCATCTTATTCTGTGTGATGTAGGAGAAATCACAAGCAATCTTAGTTATATGGGGATTCAATGTTCTCCTCCTCCCCCTCCCCCACCTCCTCCTCCTCCTCCCCTTCCTTTTACTTTCTTTGGAGTTAATCACCCTAGGGTAGGTATCACTTCCCATATCTCGCTACAGTTCACACTTTCTAATCATCATTAGTTGTGATTGCGAGATTAGCACAACATGCCTAAAAACAATTTGTCCGCATGGTTCATGCTTCTGCAAGGTCAAAAGTGCATTTGTCACAATGGAATTTTTTGATGCTTTGTGGTTTGTCCCAATGCGTGGAATTTTTGCTAGTCTGCTATAAATATGTGATGTTTTAAGGTGGAATGAGGAAGTTGGTTGTCTGCTGAATAAGTAAAAGTTCACATGAGATGAGGTAATGGATGGACAAAGAAATTTACTGCATCATTTGGCCGGTCCACTCAGTATCTAAATGGCCAAATGTAGTACCAAGGTGGGCGCTAAACTCATTGGCCCACGATATGACACTCGTGCGCATCGATGTTGTCTTCCCAATGTGGATGCAGCCTCCAGTCTCCTTTTTGACAACTCGTTGAGGTAGCAAAGGGTTAATACATTTTGTTTTCTCATGTCCAAGTGAAACCCAGGTCTATTTTGAGGTGAAAATGAATTCATGGAGGGTATACTGAGCCATTGGGGTCTTTCTCTTTGTTAGTGATCAAATAGACGAAATTTCCTTACAGGTTTACTTGAGATACCTTCATTCATTGGTGAAGGAGCTCCTCAACCATCCTGGAAGATTTTGTGATTTGCAGTCTCGCTGAGGTATCCTCACTCGAAGGGACTCTATTCATCCATCCATCCATCCAATTAGCTAGCCAGCACACATAACAGGCTCCGTCCCCCCACATTATCGGCATGGAAGACCTCCGTCCAAAAGGATGCTCCTAATCACATACGCTTAGAACAGTTGATAACCAAATGAAACTTCATTTTGGAGCCCTCCTAGAACAAACAAAAATAGACAACTCATTTGATGGCGCCTTTTTACTCTCCTTTCGGTGTCACTTTTAGGGGCTCCCTAGCTGTCTCAATCTGAGACAGGTATGCACATTGATCTAAAACATTCCTAGGCAGTTATCTTTTTCTTCCCCGCAGGTTTTTAGTTAATAAAATTTGCCCGACTTTTGCTCCAAATTGCAAAAATATGTGAATTTGGGAGGCGGTATTAGACATCCTTCGCATTCAGGAAGGCCTGCTTCTGTGGTGACGCTCTAAGTATTCGCTACTGCCAAGTGTATGTTATTGCAAGTGGGTCAGCTCAGTCACACCTTTCATCAAGTTGACAGGTACCAGTGGTACAGCTGGCACCGAAACCTACGGGTGATGGTGAAGAATTATCTCCACCGACGAATAAATGTTTCTACAGGCAACTTTAGATAGTAAACTTAGTCGTTGGTGTCAGCACTCCAAAACGAGCAGCAATAAGGCCTCTTCCTGGTCTACAACCTCAACAATCAATTCCACGATCATTCATTTGGCCGGTGCAACGTCTCATCATACACATTTGATCTATGTGTAGCCTATCGAGAAGCTGTACAAAAGATGAATGGGCCTATTGCTGCGGTAAACATGGAGAAATACAATTTCGAAATGCCAGCCACTTACATTATCGTTCTTCCTTCTTCAGTACGCACAGTCCCGGTTTCGCGTGAACTCAGCCTGTAAAAGCCTGACTTATAAAATGCAAAACCGCTTTCTGGGACAAATGCTTTCACAACTTCTAGCTTGTAGTCATTTCAAGGCAGTGCACCTCCATTTCAGACAATTGATGACCTGATAAATTGGTGAAGAGAGGAGGAAGCATAATTCGTTGCATCTCGCCTTATATTGTCACCTATTCAGGCTGGTACACCAACTCCTCTCAGAGCTTGGTCTGAGCCCTCACTTGACTTTGAAGATGGCCTTTGTGCAAATTGCGTCATCTATCACTCAAAGGGTGTGCAAACTCATCTCCATCTGTAGTGTGTACCCGGCGTAGGGCCAAAGTTCTCTCCCCTAAGGAGGTGAGTAAACCCCTGAAAAAGTACCTGTGCTGATGTGATGAGCGCAGAGCCCGCCACCACTACAGCCATAAAATGAAGCGGAAATTTCGAAGCCGCTTAATGGAAACAGTAGGAAGTATTCATGAAATTATACTGACGACTTTGGGTTTAGAGATAAAAATGTGGAAGACTTATAAAAGGCGAAGGATTGTACAGCATGTCAGAAATTTTGTCCAAAATGAAAAAAAAAAGTTGATGTTTACATGTGAAGGTCAAATAGATCAGAGATCAGTACAATTTACGACGTCATGGTTTTCTTTGAAAGATGTCAATGACGACGGCGACCTGGGATGCGACTGTCACACATGACAGAAGGACATTCCCTGAATGGCCAGGGCATTGAGAGATAGAGTAGACTCTAAATAAACTATACTCTTACCACACTTCATTTGGCCTTTTTGTCTTGCCAAATCGCGGGTATCTCATTGATCCGGCTGACAAGATCCCTCTTGAAAAGTGCAATCAACCGAGGGACAAAAACGAGCCTGATGGAAAGAATGATGCCTGCTCCGTCAGTAGTTTTTTTTAATGCTCTGGATACCGGTGCGGTTGATAGACCTAACGTGCCTTGTCAGGCGAGATGGATGAGATAAAGTCGCTTGAAAAATAACATCAACCGCTGGTCGACGCTACACGGCTAGCATATCAACTTCGCTCGTTGCTTTCAGCGGTAAGAGGGTGTCATGCCACCAGATCATGGTTTAACACACTGTTGCTGCTCTTTTGATCCCTTCAAGTTGGCTCTTATTCCTTCCGAATGAGCTCTTTGGACGAGAACCACAAGTCGACGTGCCTTTAACCGCCCTTTATTACAAATCTTCACAGATTAAATGACCTTTAAATTTTGTATCCAGTGAAGGGGGAGGTGGGAGGAACAGATGTACCACGTTTCGGTGTGGACCGACTTTGCTCACCACTGACGTAGCGTCATTGCCGGTAGGTAAACGCATATGAGGGTCTAGGCAACTGAAGACAATGCAGTGGGTGTCGCCACAACACCAGAGTGGTAGGATTGCTATCAGAAACCGTACTGTCTGGAGAACAAAACACGAAGCGAAATCCCCTACCATCCTACTGACTGAAGGCCCAAGCGTACCTTCTAATGGTTATTTTGACATTTTAAATGGAATTTGAACTATTATTCCCTTCCCTGAGAAAGAATAACAGAACCAATTTATTAGCGCCTGATATATTTGGTATTTTGACGACAGGTCTAAAGAAATGAACACTACCGTTTTCAAGCATGCCTTTAGCTGATTTTTCGAATGTAAAGTCACCCCCTTCAAAAGCAGTCCGCCCCGGTTAATGGCATTAGCCCCAGCGAAGAGCATTGACCGGGGTAAGGAAGGAGCCTACCAATTCGTGGTGCCTCAGGTCTCCTTCTACTCGACAAAAGTGATGCTTTTACGGGTTGTCAACCCTGTGCGTTGCATCACGAGGGCATCGCTTCCCATCTTGTGGCGAGTGTGGGGACGGGTGGTGCCAGGAAGCATGCGATTCCTCAGGTTGTTTTTTGGCATGTTGTGCTAATCTCGCGATCACAACTAATGATGATCGGAAAGCGTGAACTGTAGAGGAATAGGGAAAGTGATGCCCACTCGAGGGTGATTAACTCCAAAGAAAGT